TGCTGCTGCTGCTGCTGCTGCTGCTGCTGCTGCTGCTGCTGCTGCTGCTGTTGCGGCTGCTGCTGTTGCGGCTGCTGCTCTGCTGGTGTGTTTTATAATCGCTTTTGAGCTGCGTATAACATGAGGTAAAAGCCGTCCGTGTCGTCTGGCCAACCAAGTAGACTCGGCTGGCGCTCGTGCGCCCTTAGCCGAGTCCTGCTCAGCCAGGAGTATCTTCTGCTGCTATTGCCATTGCCACTTGGCTTCACACTCATTCAGTCATTGACCAGCTGTCCAGCGCTCCGCACGCCGACGGGAGCAGCGACGAGTTCAGACGTCAAAGTGACTTTTTGTTTTCGTTTGCCTCTGTTTTTTGGCGCGCATTCGAGATTAGTTGCAAACATTTAGCATTGTGTGCCTAAAATTATTTCGTTTAATTTTTTTAACTTGATTATATTTTTTTTGGTGGAAAGTCAAACAGGTGAAAATATGCGTGATCATCCAGCGGTGCCAAATGTGTTTCGTGTTGCCTCATCGCACAGCATCAATAGCATGGGCGCTGCTGCCACGCCCGGCAGTAATAATATGCAGCAGCAGCAGCATTTGAAAATGGGCCCCAATATCAAGTATGTGAAAAGCAACAGCTATGAGCAGCAGCAAGTAGCACAGTTGGACCCACAACCGCAACATCAGCTTGCTAAGCATCAGCTAACCACCAGCGCATCCATTGAGCAGACGCATCAATTGATGCAGCAACAGCAATCGCCGTACGCAACGTTGCCCCGCGGCGGTCTGCGACGCACGCAACAAGAACAACAGCAGCAGCAGACACAGCAGGATTCGCACAAGCACCTGCAGACAGGCGTCATCAATACGATTTCTGGCAGCATTCCAGCGACGGGCTTTCAGTCGCTAGCTGGCAGCTTCAGCGATTTGCAGCTCAACAATTTGAGTCGCAACAACAACATCTGCCCGACCAGCAGCAGCAGCAATAATGACAAACGACAGCAACAGCAGCACCCACCACACCAGCACCGTCAAGTCTACTGCAAACCTGTCGAACAGCAGTGGGCATCACCGTCGCCTGAAGGTGCTGGTACCGCTCTGGAAGCCCAGCCTGGATTCACGAGCATGTCCAGCGTCAGAGACGGTTACCTGTGGCTACTGACACCTGTTGCGGCCAGGTGAGTGCCATACCGATCATGTTCCGACAAGCTCGAGAATGTCACTCTTTTGACGCCCTTTGCGATCAACAGCTGGAGGCATGCGAGAGTTTTATTATTTTAATTACCATTTATATTTGTGGCCTTCGAAGATCTATAATGAATGACTGAATATGTATTTTATATGTATACAAATATATAAAAATTCATATATATTTTGCATACTTTAATCTGGTTCCTAATTATGTAAAAAAAATAAAACTGTTTCCTGCCATTATAAGTTAATTTAATTATACCCTGAACCCATTAAAAATGGGAAATCTGGGTATAATGGCTTTGTTAAAGGTATGTAACAGGCCGAAGGAGGCGTGGCAGATCCCACAAAGTATATACATATACTCTTGATCAGGGCGACGAGCTGAGTTGATATAGCTCTGTCTGTCTGTATGTCCGTCCTTCCGTCTGTCTGTCCGTATGCTTGAACGCGTCGATTTCAAATATGAGCTAGAAACTTCAAATCTTTTAAAACTGTCCGTACATAGAGCGCGCATATCGAGTTTATCGCCAAAAATCGATAACTCATCCCTTTATTTTGTATCGATTAAAAGCCTTATCGAAAATCTGTTATAATATTATATCTCCTACATCTTTAGCGGTAAAGTCTATAAATTTTAAATATATATTCAAATGCATTTTATAAAATTTCGGTTATTGTCATATTTTGGATACCGGCTCCAAATACACCAGAGTCCCCAGTGAAGGTCAGATGCCAGTATATATACATATGTTGGTGTGCACACATACATTCAAACTTATTCTAGCATATTCTTAGAATCACATTACGCATGAAGTGTTAGAATTCTCAGCAGTTAGTTTAATTTAGTTTCGCTTCTGAACCTATTTCTGTTTTGCCATCATGTATACCATATGTAGTATGATTTTAAATTTTAGCTGGCCAAAAATTAAGTGTCTACGCTCAGATGGGGCGTGGCAAATCGAGAAAAACTGAACTTTCTACAGTATTAGAGCTAAACTTGGCTA